GAAGTGAGCCAAAGGCAGTGACCACTTGGTGGGAAGTGAATCAATGGAGAAAGAAACTTACACTGCTGTCTGACCCAGCAGTGAACCTTCACACCTGAGCAAATGTCATCAGAAACAGACAGTTGAAAAGCAGAGATCCAGGTGCAATTATCTTGGAATTTAGCAGATCATCCTAGAGATCTCTGGATGAGAAAGATTCCAAATTAATAGGAAAACTGCCAGCTAGGTGTTGTTGGATTTCCATTTTCATCATTCCAAAATTTGGGAATATGGCATTATCATTAAATCAGTGGGAAACAATCTCAGCTGTCCTTTGATACAGAGAGTAACAATTTCACCCAGTTAGCAGCATTGTTGACAGTTTCATCTGTAGCATTGTAAACTGTGAGGAGGATCGTGTAGAACTTCGAAAGGACGTTGACAAGTTGGTGGAATGAGCAGACAAGTCTCAGATGAAGATGAGTTCAAAGAAGTGTGAGGTGATATGTTTCGGTGGAAAGAACATGGAGAGAAAATACAAAATGAAGGGTACTGTGCTAAAAGGTATGCAGAAGCAGAGAAACTTGGCTGTCTATGTACATTAGTCATGAACAGAAGTAGGATTCATGGACAAACATCAACCAAAGCATACAGTACCCAAGACTTCATTAATAGGGGTATAAAATACAATCGCAAGAAGGTTACGCTGAACTAATACTCGTTGGACCCTCAGCCAGAATATTGTGTACAGTTCAGGGGACATACTTCAGAAAGAATGCTCACATATTGCAATGAGTAAGAAGAGGTTTACCATAATAGTTCCAGAGATGAGAAACTTCGCTTATAAAAATGGATTGCAAAAGTTGGGACTTGGAAAAGAGACGTCTAAGAGGAAATTTGATGGAGATTTTCAAAATCATGAAGGGTCTGGTCAGAGAAGAGAGGACGAACTCTTAAAAGGAACAAGAACAGTAGGGCACAATTTTCAACTAATTGCAAATGAATCAAATTGGAAGTGAGAAAAGACTTTTCCACGCAATGAGTGGTTCACAGCTTAGTCTTGAAGTGTGATGGAGTCAAATTTAATCGAGGCATTCAAGAGAGTATTGAGTGATTATTTGAATAGAAATGACATGCAGTGTTATCAGGAAAAGACAGAAGAATGGCATTTAGTTCAAATGCTCATTTGGAGACCCATTGAGCTGAGTGGTTTCCTTCTGCACCATAAGAATTCTTTATTTTTGTCAGGTCCTATCTTTATAATATCCTAGTAAAGTAAGCACAAGCTCTGTTGGACACGGTCCTGCAATATATCCTTTGTAATTTGCATGGACTGTGGTACAAACTTAGTCCAGTGAAAGCCCGCACTTCAAATTTTGGACCCGCCTTCCCTGGAGCTTGGAAATATTTTTAAATTTGGGCAAAGGACACAATGCTTTCCCCCTCTCCCACATCCTACCCCTTGTCAATTCTGACCTTCCAATTTAAAAATATTGAAAGTTCTTTGGGGCACCCAGATTGAATGACACTATATAAATTATGAATCTTTTATTTCCTTATTAATTTTTCCAGTGAACTGGTAAGACCCTGCATCATTGGTGTGCATCATTGCATTTTAATGCCTGTTGGAGTCTGATCTGCACAGCATTGCTGTAGTCTACTAATTGTGCACTACAACCATCAGCTATATTACCACTGCTATACTTAGTTGCCCCGTCTAAAACATACAGAAAAACTCATGATAGCTGCATAGTTAGAAATGGAGCAGAGGCTCTTTTACAATGCTTTCCATCGGTTGATCTGTGCCCTTTCTTTTTTAACCAAATCTTTTTACTAATATCACCTCCACGAAGTGAATGTTTTGTCTGACAGCTCAGAGAGAAAGCTGCAGAGGTTTGTTGCTGCGGTCTAACATCAGTCAAGGCGTGATAAGTTCTTGAGTAGCAAGTTAGTACATCTGTATGTTCAAGCCACCTCCCGGTCGAAAGGTTGAGGGTTCAAAATCTCAGCATGTGCCAGCTATTAAGAGGCCACTCTCCTCCCAGCTGTTAAGACAAGCGACGTTTTCTTGTACTGCCCCCTAGCACAAGCCATGCAAGAGAAAGGATGTGCGGATGCTTTACCAGAAAGCATCCCCTGTCTGCCTGGAATGAAAAAGCAAGCCTTAAATGGGGAGGGAGAGTCAAAGGGGTGGGGGGAGGAAGTTGGAGTGGAATGATAATGGGAAAAAAAAAGTTAAACAGCTGAATATACAAAGTTGCTCCTTTGTGAAACCTCTTGGCTGCTTCTTGTACAGAATGAAATTTTTTAAGCATTGCCACTTGTTACAGCAAAGTTTGAGAATGATGTTGATTAACTGAATTGGATAACTGAATATGCATGGTACTCCTGGGACACCAGAAGGTTGGTAAATGTGCAGGCCTTGGGTTAAGAAGGTTTTCTTTCCCTTGCAACTGAGCAATTTTTGTTTCTCTCTTTTACTCCTGACTACACTAACTGATCATGCAGCATTAATAACAATCATCAAGATTGAGCTGGCAGCTCTTAATCTACATCTTTTACCTCTTATTCTCTGGACTCGCTTAAAGATTTCCATTGTTTCTCTGAATTTAAATTTCCTCAGGGTGCAATAAGGGGATGGTAAAGATTTATACTTTTAAAGAAAACTTAAAATCTCTTGAGCTACATTTTGTGAGGACAGTGTAGTCAAGGCAGATGCACAATGCACTGCAATTTTTTTAAAATCCCTTAGACTTGGAGCACAAACTTATTTGGTTAGCACAAGGGCCCTGTTATTGGAAGCAGCACAACATGCAATAATAGTCTGAAAACTTACTCTGCAATTCGCTTGCTATCAGTTAGGAAGCATATGAACTCAGCAGGAGGCTTGAGATAAAGGCTAATTTATGGAGAATTATGCGTACATAATCAAACAGAAACCCCAGAAGGGGTGAACATGACTATGCATCTTCCCTTCTGTGTGCTTCATCTTCATCTCTTGTTTTGATTATAGTATTCCGAGTATTTTGAAAGCCTTGCTTCCTGCTTTGCTCAAAGCTTTATAAGCCACACGTTGCGCTTTGTGTGAAATCCTGTCAGATTTAATATGGGACATGAAAGTAAACCTGTAACCGTATGTTAGTTATTCATGAGTTCCAAATATGCGCACAGACTATTGCACAACAACAGAAAAAAGAAATCAGCAGCCTAGTGTGTCATTTAGTATTAAATGAATTTGACCCTTTTGTGCTTGATATTAAATCTTTTCATCAGGTGCAGCGTTTATCTGTCATCAACATGCAAATGACTTGGCTGAAGATCACTTGGCGACGAGCCATTTGGTGTTTTTACTCTGTCTGAGCATTGTCCGTCTTTTGCAGGCAGTAGGATGTGATTGATTCATTTCTTCTTTTTCACCCTCCCAATGGTGTTTTGTTTTATCTCGACTGAAATATAATGAAAGATTTTTTTTTTGTCTTTTCTGTAGCACAGCCATGTCTATAATTGGGATTTTTGTGGCTGGGAAAAGTTGAAAGGTGGCTGAGATTTGCCTTTGAAACAACAAGAGGGAAAACTCCATCCTCAAAGGGACCTTGGGCATCATAGCCTTTACGCATGTGGAGGTCAGCACCTGGAGTGCGCTGCAGTAGATAGTGTTTGAGGCCAGGACTCAGTGCAGAAACAGCATTGCCACTTGTCATGGGGAAGAGCTGATATCTGGTCGAATCAAATCAAATGAGCTCCAGACTTGCTTCATCTAAAGCTGTCGTATGATTTTATGAATGTTTTAATAATAAAGCAATGAACATATCCACCATTGAAATCCAGACCTTTTTCATTTTTGTTCAACCCAGTATGGCTGTATGCCAAGTACAGTTCTTCGCATTCCAGCACAGTCAATTACTCTTTATTGCTTCAGTGCTGGTCCGAAAAAGTCATATTTAAAAAGAAAGAGGATGAAATTTCAGGGCTTGCTGCAAATTAGATCACTTCAGATTCTATTTCCATTGGCCAGTGTGTTCAAACAGGTTCAATACAAACCTCTATCCATAAGGGCACTATAACACAAGGTGGGAATGATTAAATCTTGTTTGGGATCCTGTCACTTCTGGAACAGTTTGTAATTTTCTAAGGTTTGATAGGAGAGAGAATGGAAAACCTGCACACAGCCAAGTAATGGCCCATAAGGAGCTTGTCAAGAGGCTGGCCAGTGCAAAATTGAACTCATAAAACTTTGATTCTGGAAAACCTGTATTGTTTTAATTCACAGCTGTCAAGATCGCTGTAAGACCAAGTAAAGTTTATTTGTCATTGTGTTGAATGTGTATTTTCATTGATCTACAAGCAGCAGTCCTAGCTCAGGAGCTTTATTTATCTTGCAAGGGCCCTTTCAGCCTCCCTGACACTGCCGGCCCTTCCAGGAGGTGCTGGCTCTCTTCACAAGTCAATGGCAGCCTCCAACATAGCCGCCACCTGCCTTTGTCATTGGAACCAAGCAGGCAACTCGTGTGTTTCGGAGGGGCTCGGTGCTGTGGGTTGGAATTCATCTGCAAGTCACGTGGTCAACCTAGTTTTGAAAATCTGACCCCGGCAATTTACAGCTTCCCGCTCAGGGAAGACAATTGCGGGGGATGTCATTAGGGTGTTGTCACAGGAATAAAATTGTCTCAAGTGAACCTAATTTAGTATTTACCATTTTGGCTTCAATAGAATTGTGTTAAAATTGTTTCAATTTCTTCATGGTGTACATTATTTTAAAAAAACACCAATTTAAAGAAATTACTCTTAAATGTTGGGAGTACCGAATGTAAAGTATCTTTTAAATGATTGCCTTGAGAGCTGCACCTCAGATGTTGGTTTGTTATCCATTTGGGGAACTTGATCTCTGAGCTTTACATCCTTAGCAGAAAATTCCACAAAGATGTCACGCAACGCTGATTTCATCAAGCAATTCTTTAGCTTTGAAATATCGCTGGAGACTTGACCTTTCTGGTTTTGATATGCACTTTCTCTTTAATCAGCAATGCATCTACTCGGCCTGAACTGGCAGCTGCAGCAGGTCGAGAATTACATGTTTGAAAATGGAAAAGTGAAGACGGAGAGCTCACCAACTAATGCAGTGACGTCAACTTCAGCCGATAGTGGTAAGCAATGACATGGGCTCAGAGTAAGCAAAATGCAATGCAAGTAAAAATTGATATTTCAGATGCTTTGACAGGGGTGCGACTTTTCCTCTTCTTCATTTTGTCTCACCTTCTTACCAGAAAGGTGACTGCCATAGTTCACCACCTTGGTCTGCCGTGTGCTGTGGTTGACATTCCATTGAGGTTGACCACGTGTACATCTAATAAATGCAAAGTACTGCAGATGCTGGAGTTAGAGTCATAGAGACGTACAGCAAGGAAACAGACCCTTCGGTCCAACTCGTCCATGCCGACGAGATATCCTAAATAAATCTCGTCACATTTGGCCCATATTCCTCTAAACCCTTCCTATTCATGTACCCATCCAGATGCCTTTTAAATTTTGTAATTGCACCAGCCTCCATCACCTCCTCAGATAGCTCATTCTAAATCCCATCACCCTTTGCATGAAAAAGTTGCCCCTTAGGTCCCTTTTATATCTTTCCCCTCTCACCTTAAATCTATACCCTCTAGTTTTGGACTCTCCCACCCCAGGGAAAATACCTTGTCAATTCACCCTATCCATGCCCCTCATGATTTTATAAACCTCATTAAGGTCACCCCTCAGCTGCAGGGAAAATAGTCCCAGCCAATTCAGCCTCTCCCTACAGCTTAAACCATCCAACCCTGGCAACATCCTCATGAATCTTTTCTGAAACCCTTTCAAATTTCACAACATCTTCTATAGTAGGGAGACCAGAATCGCACGCAATACTCCGAAAGTGTTCTGTACAGCTGCAACATGACCTCCCAATCTGAAGCAAACACAGAAAATGCCAGAGCAACTCAGCAGGTCTGGCAGTGTCTGTGGAGAATGAAACAGAATTAATATTTCCACTCCAATATGACTTTTTTTTGAACTGATGAGTTGCTCCAGCTTTCTCTATGTTTGCTACATATGTACTTATCTTTCAGTATTATTGTTCTATATATTTATTTATTATGTCTGCTATCCATTTTTAGCTCTCTTTCACTCCCCTACATTTTCCATCAGTCTTCCCCTTCAAGAACTGTCTGTCTACCATCTGCTATAATGATGTGTCTAAGGTATTGTATCTTTATTGCTTTGATGTTTTTCACTTTTTTTTAATTTCCAGTACTCACTCATTAGTCTTTCTGTCTGTGCAGAACACCATCCCATATGTCCACATCACGAATGCCTTCAGTTTATCAATCATCTCTCTATCTGTTGTCCATGTCTCTGAGGTATACAACTTTTGATGACAAAATGTAGCACCTCAGCATTCTTTTCCTACAATTTAAGTTTAGTTTCTTTAGAAGTTAACACATCAGCACAGGAGGAAGTGGCTCATGAGGATATGACATGTATTGCACAAATGAAAGGACGCCTCCAAGCTCTTTCGAGCCAATACAGCTGGTTGAAGTGTTGTAGTGCAGGAGTTGTCACAGTCAGTTTGCACACGCAAGCTCCCACAAACAGCAATGTCGTGATGACTGGAACATCAAGGAAAAAAAATGTTATTTGATTGAGGGATGAATCGGCCACGGGATAACATGGATAAGGGATGGCACAGTGGCTCAGTGGTTAGCAATGCTGCCTCACAGTGCCACGGACCTGGGTTCAATCCCACCCTCAGGCAACTAATTGTGTGGAGTTTGCACATTCTCCCTGAGTCTGAGTGGGTGTGCTCCAGTTTCCTCCCAGTCCAAAGGTATACAGGCTTGTTGGATTCATCACAAGAAATGCAACGTTACATGGAAAGAGTGGGTCTGTGTGGAATGCTGTTCAGTGGGTTGGTGTGGACTCTATGGGCCACATGGTCTGCTTTCACACTGTAGGGATTCTGTGAACTTCACTTCTGTTATTCAAAGTAGTCTTGTGGAATCTTTTACATTCACTGGAGAGAGCAAGCAGGACAACATTCACATCACATTGCTGTACTGTCAATTGCATAATCTGTGCAGTGGCGCCACCATTTCAGAGACCCAGCTAGTTTTAAATAGACCACCAGAGGTAGGAGCAGAAGTAGTCCATTCGACCTATTGAGCCTGTTCAATGAGAGTCGATGCTTTATCTGTTGTAGTATAAATTGTTTCGATGCCTTTTAAATAGAGGAATTAAAGCTAGGAACTTTAAACCGTGTTTTGATGGCAGGGCGTATCATCATTGTGTCATTTGTTTGGAAACACTGAAAGAGCAAATTTGAAATTCTGCCTTGATCTGTCACCATAAAACAAATCTGTGATCATAGTTCGACCTGAATAATTTTTCTCCATCTGCTAAATTAATGAGGTGTGTCAATTATTACATTTTTACATTTGTCAATTAGTTGAATCCATCATGTTTCACTTCAAATTCAGCAAACTTGCCCAAAACAAACAGTGCATTTCAGTCAAAACAATCTTTGTGTCTTTAAGCAAAATGCTGTTAAGTTGAACATTCTGGCATCAATGATCTTTTACTTAGAAACCTGAAGTCTTCACACTGTTTGCATTTTATGGTGCTAAAAGCCTACTGTGTAATGGAATGTTATTTGCAATTATAGCAATGTAAATTCGATACTCGGTTGGGTGTTTTCTATGTAAAATAATAAAATAATTTTACACCAAAAAGATGTAAGACAAACAGGCACTCAGATGTGCGCGCACTCTCTCTCTCTCTCACTCACTCACTCACACACACACATACACACACAGCATACAAGTCTTATTCTAATCTGCAACCATGTAATTCACATATCAGAGGCTAGATTGTTCTGTTGCTTAAATTAGGTGGGATAGCAATGCGATTGTCAATCGAATGTAACAGTCGGACCTTCCACCTCCATTCACAAATAAAAACAGAAAGTGCTGGAGAAATTCAGCTGATCTAGCTAGCAGCTTCCAGGGACAGAGAAACAGGAATTAACATTTTGAATCCAATATGACTCTTCTGCTGAACTTAAGACCATAAGATATAGGAGCACATTTAGGCCATTCAGCCCATTGAGTCTGTTTTGCCATTCTGTCATGGCTGATATGTTTCTCAACATCATTCTCCTGCCTTCTCCCCTTAACCCTGATCCCCTTACCAATCAAGAACCTATCTATCACTATCTTAAATACACTTAGAGACATGGCCTCCACAGCCTTCAGTGACAGTGAGTTCCACAGATTCACCATCCTCTGTCTGAAGACTTTCTACCTCATCTCTGTTCTAAAGGGTTGGCCCTTCACTCTGAGGCTGTGCCCTTGGTCCTAGTCTCTCCTACTAGTGGAAACATCTTCTCCACATTCATTCTATCAAGCCCTGTCAGGATTCTGTAAGTTTCAGTGAGATTCCCCCTCATCGTTCGAAACTCCATCGAGTACAGACCCAGAGTCCTCAGTCGCTTCTCACATGACAAGCTGTTCATCCCTGGGATATTTCTTGTAAACCTCCTCTGGACCTTCTCCAATTCCTTACATGTTGACAATCTGTAGGAGGGTATTCTTGTAGAGAACACAAAGATAGGCGGAGAAACAGGTGGTGCTGAGGACACAAAACAGCTGAAAATATTCCAATTGCAGTCTGTCTAGAGCCTTATACAGCCTCAGCAGTCCACCTCTGCCTTTGTATTCAAGCCCTCTTGAAATAAATGCTATAATTGCATTTATCTTCTAACTGCCAACTTAACCTGCATGTTAACCTTAAGAGGATCCTGAACTAGAACTCCTAAGTCCCATTTTGCTTCAGATTTCTGAAGCCTTTCCCCATTTAGAAAATAATCTTTATCTCTATTCTTCCTACCAAAGTGCATATCCTCACACTTTCCCACATTGTATTCCATCAGCCACTTCTTTAACCACTCTCCCAATCTGTCCAAGTCCTTCTGCAGCCTCCTCGCTTCTTCAGCACTACCTGTCCGTCCACATATCTTTACGTTACCTACAAACTTGGCAACAATACTCTCAGTTCCTTCATACAGCTTGTTAATGTATAACATGAATAGTTGTGGTCCGAACTTGGACCCCTGCAGACCCCCATTAGTCACTGCAACAGACCCCTTTAAGCTCACTCTCTGCCTTTTGCCAGTCAGACAGTCCTCTATCCATGCCAATACCTTGCCCTACCACCTCCACTGAGCCCTCCCCACCTTGAACTTTGTCCATAATTTTCCATGCAACTGAACCCACTTGCCCCCACCACTGTTTAGTTTAAAGCACTGCCCACAGCCTAGAATCTTGCATTTTGTGGAGCTCAATTTTGGCTGAGGACTGTAGAAACTACAGTCACAGAATCACAGAAATATTATGACAAAGAAGGGGGCCATTTAGCCCATTGTGCCTGCAGCAGTTCATTAAATGAGCAGTAATCTTCATTCCATCCCAAATTTCCTGGTTTGCAGAAATTGGAATCCCATCTGGTGTTGCCTCCCATGACCAAGTAACCCAGGAAATGTGCCCACTTTAATCGCCGAGGGATGACAAGAAGGAAATCCAATGCTGTTCATCAAACGAGAGAAAATATAAAAAGGAAAGAATGAAAGACAGTTATTTCTTTTACAAGCACATTTCAATCTGCAAATCTGCCACATCAATTAGCCTCAATCATGTGGTCTTTCAGAATTTTTAAAGGCAGCCCCACCTCAGCATCAGAATAGTTGATTAGATATTGCGTGATACAATATTCATGTTGTTTTAAACCAGCCCTTTCAAGGGCTGTTGTATAACATTGTAGGATTGTATAACCCTATAAGCTGTGCCATAACATGTCCAAATAGTTTGATTAAAGCTAAATGTTTTATGATACAGTGATAATTATTGCTTAAGTGTTTCTGGCCCCTGGAGTAACATTGCAGTGATGTCACAGAAATGCTCATCACTGGGCATATACATTACAGTGTGCGTGGAGCTACTTGGGGCTGCATGGTGGCTCAGTAGTTAGCAGTGCTGCCTCACAGCACCAGGGACCTAGGTTCAATTCCAGCCTCAGGCAACTCTACGATTGTCTGAGTGGAGTTTGTACGTTCTCCCTGTGT